ATTTTTCTTTGAATAAACTTAAAAAGGCTTTAAATTTGCTCGCGATAACTTTTGTAATACAATTCATATATAATTTTGCCAACGATACTGTAAAATAGTAAAAATACATTTTAACCTTGTAAAAAGACATGAATCTAAAAAATTGTTATTTGCGTGCTGATGTACTCAAAAGTATGGGTAGTCTGCAAGTCTGTTTCGGAAGCAAAGAGAGAGTGCTTTGGATCTCAAGAAAGTTCCCAAATATTCAGTGTTTGGCTTTCGGAGAGTTTGAGACCAATTTCGAGACATTTTATGAGTAATAGTTACGAAAGGTTAGTGAGTTTCGTGAGTTGTATTCGCCACCAACAGCAGTGAAGTCACCTGTTGTCTAGGTTGTTAACTCTGTTAATAACAGGTTAGCAAACTGTCTTCAAAGAGATTCAGTATGTGATGTCACTCACAAGAACTCTCGGTTGTGATCCCAGAGTTGACACAATTGCAGAAATTGGCCGCAGATTTGGAAGGTTTATATCACTGGTAATACAAAGTTTGCCTAGAAGTTTCTCTAAGTCTATGTGATGTCACTCACAAGAACTCTCGGTTGTGATCCCAGAGTTGACACAATTGCAGAAATTGGTCGCAGATTTGGAAGGTTTATATCACTGGTAATACAAAGTTTGCCATCATACGTACGTATACTTCACCGGTAAGGTAGGTGCCGATGGAGAACACGTGAAACACGTAGGAGTCGTACCTGTCCTGTAGGGCACGCAAACAGTCGACTACATTCTGGGCTACAATTTGGCTGCCATTAGTAGGTAGGAGCGCATCGGCTATACTTATTTTGACGGTTAACACGTCGAACCCTTTCGCGAAATATATTTTCCGGTATTTCTCTAAATGTTTTTCTTTAGAGAAAAGCCATCCGAATAGCACTACTAGTGAACGACTGGTGCCCTGTTTGAGGGCACCGGTATCCTTGCAATAACTGAATGATATGTTTTCATCTAAAGTAATGGTCTTTTTATTAGGGATTTCGTGGATCAGTTCCAGTCGTTTGAGAATATTGTTGCGCTTTCTGTGGGCTCTTTCCGTTGAGATTACTTTCAATATAACACTCAATACTGATATTGAGATTATTAATCCGATTGTGTATACAATGAATAGGAATATCATTTTGAGTATAAATCCAAGTATTTAATCACTGAAAATATATATATATAATATTTAATTAAATAGGGAAAATCAACAGGGAATATTTATAGAATACTAAACGAGAATTTTAATAAAATTATTAGATTATTAAAAGTAGTTATTTAACTGATTATTTTACTATACTGTTTAAATAATTTATTATTAACTCTGTTATTTATCCAAAGTTTATAAAAGCTTTACAAGTAAATCACAATATTAAAATATTATTCAGACATTTGTACTTTATTTTACAGACTAGATGCAATGCATAAACAAAACTATTAAAATAATTTGAAATACTATTTATAAGGTGTTTTGTCTAGTAAATATTAATATTAATGGTGTTTAAAGTAAAGTAAATTACTTTCGACTATTATTATGATAGAAAAAACTAGTGTTTTTATATTATAAGTTATAATTTATAACCTTTTTATATTATCACGATTTAATGAAACATTATGTTATATTATTATATTAAAATCATAGGTATATTTGTATTTAAAATATTTTGTATAGAAATTACTTACAATTTTAGTATTTTGATTTGATTTATGTAAATTATAGTATTTTAATAGCACATGGGTAATAATTATCCTTTAAAAAATTATTTTCATTTCAATGATTTACACAACAAAACAATTATTTGACAATTGTTTTCTAATAAGTTTTATTTGATGTACAGACCAAATTAATTATAAAATCTCTGGGCAATAATAATTAGAATTGTCAATTTTAATAATTAATTTTAATTAGTGTTCACATGTTGAGGGTACTTTTATACATACATTAAAAACTTTTAATACATTTGACATATACTTTTTCATGATGTGATGTATACCTGTATTTGAATTTTTAGATTAAATGAACACTTTTTTATCGCAAAACAGAGTGCTTTTGAGTACAAAATGTATACATATTGTTTATAAACCTGTTACCACTTTGATTTCATAAGTTTTTATGTTAAGGAAACTTTTATAAATATAAACTGATTTTTAATGCATTTTTATGTCTAACTATTATATGTTTCAATGTCATAACAGCAGTTAATACAGGTCAAGGTTAATACAGATAATAAATTCAGATATTTAATGCATTGTTATAAAATAGAAAATATATCTTTATGTCGAATATAACAAACTATACGTTATCGGAGGTCTACTGTCCGGCACCGGTAGATATAACCAAACAAAATATGTACAACAGTTAAAAAAGTATGACAAATCAAATTGTATACATTCTGTACGACTACTAAAGATCATTTGCTGGCACGAACAGTGTATCAAGATCAACAAACCCTCAATTCTGCAAATCAATATTTCCTATGAATTTTATTTTTACGGGTAAAGGTGTAAAACAATAAGATTAATTAATTAAGTGATAAATTAATTGCATAGGAAATATTGATTTGCAGAATTGAGGGTTGATCTTGATACACTGTTCATGCCAGCAAATGATCTTTAGTATTTTGAAAGATCTTTCGAACCCTGCTGAGAGAACCCAAATACCTTGACCCATTGCTGAGATAACTACGTCTAAAAATGACAATATTTGACATTTAGGGAATTTTTAAAAATCAACGGAGTAAAATTTCGACAAATCAAGAAATTACTTTTCTAGGAATGACCTCGCGCATCATTTCCAAAAATCAGAACTTAAAAATATTGTATAGTTTTTGAGATCTAAGGAATGTGTTGTAGCTATCGTTCCCTTAAGATTTAGGGGAAAGTTGGCATATGAGTATATTCGTGCCAAAAAACAGTATTTGCAAAAAATTTTGTTTTAATCTAGCTCAATTCTAACCCATAGTTAATTTAATAGAACGATTGTCAACCCTTTTGGCGCCGCTTTTATATTTTCAGAAATAATTTAGCATGTAATGTGTTATTAAAATTGTTGGGTATTCGTTTAGATTTCACACAATAAAATAATTTATTATACATTTTTTATTTAAACAAATAATTTAATTTTTTTTGCTAATGTGTAAATTATTTGTTTATTAAAGTGTATTATTTTGAGTAAATAAAAAGCACTTTTATTATAGTTTATCGTTGAATTAATAATCTCAATCGGACTTACGTTATCAGGCATGTCAATCAGATCATCATGCTCAGATATTATAGATGAGATTAGTGAATAGCTCATATAATATCATCTGGATCGGGTTAAGTTTGATGTTGACAAGGCTTTTGTATTAAAATATATTATAATTAGTTTTTAAAAGCTTATTATGAAAGTAGATTGTAAGTCAGATCAATAATTCACTAACCTTAATTATGCTTTAAATAACAAAACAAATAATTATATAATTTCATAAATGCATAAAATGTGTCTAAATATTAATTTGGCTAATTTATAATTAACATTTTAAATACTGATTAGATTTGAACTATTTTAATAAATTATTAATCTAACAAACTGTCATTTAATATCTATTTTTTCAAATTATCTAGCATATAATATGTTATTAAAATTTTGGATCTATATTTCAAAAAACTAATATTAAATTTAATTTTTTGTTTATCCAAATATTTATTATTTTGTAAATGATTAAATTATTATATTATTTATTTAATAAATATATAGGTATATTTATCTCAGACAATAATATTAATCTTTTTTATGGATTAATAAATCTTTTCACAATTGACTGATTATAAGAAATATTTTTATTGCATGTATTTCTATGGCAATTATCTATTACTCCCACATTTCTTACCATTATATTATTTGCTATGAATTCCAGTATTAATGTAATTAAGAAAAAGTGAATTAAATATTATAAACTATTGTAAAATAAATGATTTTAATATGGACTTGAGTATTATTCCGGTTAAAAATAAGTTTAGTGGGGATTTTATTAAAACTAAACTTATTGGATCAGGTGGGTGTGGTAAGGTGTACCAGGTTAAAAGTAAAAAGGATGGGGAGCATTATGCTATTAAGGAGATTGCACTAAAAGGTATCTGATAATTTTTATTATACAAATTAATATAGATTATTTAACCACTAAACTAATTATATTTATTTTATAATGTTTATGACTGTAATTAAAATTATAATATTAAGAAAATTAAAATAAAAATTAATATTTATTAAATTTGAAAAATCTGGTATAACTATTGAATTTTTAAAATAATTTTTTTAGCTGGCAAAAATTTCAGGGAAGTGGACATACTAAAATCCATAGACAACATAAACGTGGTCAAATACTTTGACTCGTGGTGTGAGCAAGGTACACCTGCTGACAAGATTTACATACAAATGGAGCTATGTGGTTGGAATAACGAATTTTACAACCTACGTAATGTTAATAAATTTAAAAGTCAAACATTTGTACGCAAACAAGATGCTGAATTGTGTCAGGTTGAATATTTCATCACGCTCACTTTGCTCGAGGAGGTACTCGAGGGGGTCAACTACTTACAGAGCCTAACCCCGCCTATTATACACCGGGATCTCAAACCGCAAAACATCCTGGTTAAATGTGCTGGGAGTAAGTGGTTGAAAATCGGTGATTTTGGCCTTGCTAAAATACAATCATCAGCCTCACAGTCCAATACTAAGGATCGCGGGGCTAGAAATTATAGGGCACCGGAGGTTATGATGGGTAGTCAGTATAACATAAGTGGTTGAAAATCGGTGATTTTGGCCTTGCTAAAATACAATCATCAGCCTCACAGTCCAATACTAAGGATCGCGGGGCTAGAAATTATAGGGCACCGGAGGTTATGATGGGTAGTCAGTATAACACCATGGCAGATATTTATAGTGCTGGTTTAATAGCAATTGAATTGTTTAATATTAATCTTAGCAGGTTAATTTTTAAATTTCTTATGTAGTTAGATGATTTTTATTTTATTTCAATATTTATTATAGTGAAGCAAGGTACACGGAATTAAAGGATTTATTTGGACGCCGTATGTTATCTGGTATGGCAAAGGATAGACCATCATGCTCAGATATACTAAATGAACTTAAGCAGTCGCCAATTCAATATGATCTGGATCAGGTCAGGGCTGATAAAGGTGGTGAGACTCTGGTATCAAATAATAAGTTTTTAAAAGCTTATTACGAAAGCAAATTACAGGTCAAATCAATTTCGCAATAAATTGTAATAATGTTTTACAGTATTAATGATAAACATATAACTATCGTATTTTCTTGACACTAATATGAGCCTACTATTGTATTACCTATAGTTTATAACATACTTTAACAAAATTTTTGATCTACAGCAATTACTAATGTTATAGGTATTAGTAACTGGGCTCTGTTGCCCATGAATGTTAAGCTATGGTTTATAATTATGTAAATGCATTGAGACTTGATTCCTTATGGAAACCAAAGGCTTATAAAATCTTAAAAATCTATGTATTTATTTTAAAATGATTATGATTTGAACATAAAGTATATAAGTATTTTATATTCTTAACACTTACATCTATGAAATCTGTACTGTTACATTTATAAACAAAAGATTATATTCAATAAAAACATTAATACCTAATAACTACTGGTAGTAACACATAAATAATGCTTTGTTTATATCACAATACCATAGCAAGGGATTGATAAGAATATTATTAAGTGTCAACCTAAACAATTATTAAATATAAAGTGAGATTTTAGTTTAACAATAGGAAAATATGTTTATAATTTTAATTATGCATTAATTGATATAAATTTAGCATGAATGAATCAAATTCGCAAAAATTATTTTACGAATATATAAATTCATTTCATAATGAAATTGAATTATCGGATAAACTCATCAGTTTACTTCGGACACACCCATGTGCATTTCTGTTGGATGATATTATGGTACGTTATTTTTATAGAATTTAAAACGTTACTAGTTAAATAGATAAAAAAATTTAATCGTTAAATTCTTATGAAAACCATTACTATATTGCTAATTATTCTGCCATTAATTAGACTAGTACAGATGCGACAAAAGTAAAATCACAAATATTATGGCAGTTTTCGCAACAGCGCCCTCATTACGAAAAGTTAGTGGACATATTGGATGAGTCGGGTCAACACCGGGTGGCGCAAAAGTTGCGCGACTTTAACAGCACACTAAAATCACTTCAACTTGAGGTCATATCAACTATCGCATCGGGGTACTTTGGATCGGTCTATAAAATGAAACATAAAACCGATCAAAAGGTTTATGCTGTTAAAAAATTTGATTTCTCAAGTTGGTAAAATTAATATTTTTAAACATTAATGAAATCATTTTAACAATTTGATTTGATTTTAATTTTGATTGATTTGATTATTTTTAACAAGTTTTACTTTAGGTTTAAATATTTAGTGCATTAATTACTACAGGGTAGCCTTTAATTAACGATACCATTTTGTTTAATTCAGCTACTGGTTCATTATTTAGTATAATATTTTCATCCGTAGTTAGCATTCGCAAACTGAACAGGTTAAAATGATTTTAAGCAATTTATCATTAATTAATTTTTCACAA